GAACAATAACCTACTTGTAAAAGTTTTAAATTCAGGACGGGATAAAGGTTGGAGACTGGAGTGTAGTATTGTTCTTACTGCGCCCGTTCTTAACCGCAGTCCACCTCGGGCCTCCCGTGCTAAATTTTAAACATTAATAATGTTATAAGTAATTATTCAAAACTGGTTATAGATAAATCAAAATGATCAGCAAGTTATTCTTAATATAAAAATATTTTATACAGTTAGAAGATTTGAGATCAGATTTAGATTCGACGAAAATAATCCCTCCAAACAACCGACGTTTTGGTTTTTGTTCTGAAAAAATGTTAAATTTTGCTGTAAATAGAAATCATTACTATATTCTTAAATATTTTCTTGGAGGACCTTGAAGCCCCCACTATTTTCGCCACTGAGTACTGAGTAGTTAAAGATAATAATAATAATCATGAACAGAAATCGTCGGTGGGCGTTTGAATAAAGAAAACGAAACCCGCACAATAATAAAACAACCAAGCTAACAACAACACTCTAAACATAATATTATTGTATAATTCGTAGATATACAGGGTGATTTTATTAAAGTGATCCACTCAATATCTCATAGGGTACAATCAATTATTGTATTTTTTCCGAAGTGTAAATAATATACAATGTCATCTCAATTTTTCACAAACTTTTATGTTTTTAAACCTCTCCCAAATTAGTTATTTTGATATCAACTGTTGAAACAAAAATGGTAACATAAATATTTTATTGAAATTTTAATTAGAAAATAATTTACTGAAAATGTTGACTTGTCGATAATCAGTTTTGGATAATTATTTTTAAAGTTATTTTTAATGTTCAGAAATAGTTTAATGTTTAGGATGGGAAAAGTGTGGACATAGAATTTTTTTTATCTGCGTGTATTAACCTAACCGCACTTCCCCTCCCGTCCTAAATGTTAAACTTTAATAACTTTAAGAATAATTATCCAAAACTGGTTATCGACCAGTCTACATTTTCAGTAAATTATTCTCAATTAAAAAAGTTGATAACATAATATATACGTTACCGTTTAAGTTTAAAAAGTTGATATGAAAATAACGAATTTGGGAGGGGGTTAAAAACATTAATCATTTTGAAAAACTGAAATCATATTGTAAAAATGCAATAACTGATTTAACCAGTATTATTTAAATGATACTGGGTTATTTAAAAAAAGCCAGTACTGTAGGAAAAATAAATTAAGTGATGATAAGTTGTAACGTTCAGCAGTCTTGATCAAATATCCTCGTTTTTTCTTGAACGACTTTTTTTAATTAAAATGTATTCGTTGGTTAATGCTTATGTAAAAGAAAGGAAAATTATTTTTAAATTTAGTATAGTGTTCTAAAAATTATTTAATTAGATAATATAAAATATTTTAAACTAAATTATTCGTAACTAAAAATTTATAACGCGAAATTAATGAAATTAGATTTCATGGAACAAATGTCAATTTTTTTTTTTAATGTTTGCGTATACGAAAATATTATTATAATTTTTGAAAAATTCAAAATAATAATTCAATGATAAATATAATAAAATACTACTTTTCATTTATTTACAAATTTAGGTTTTTAAAGTATTTTTTTCACGAAAAATCGATTTCGACCAGTTTTTAAATTCTGAAATTGTTATCATAAAATCAGAAACAAAAATATGCAAAATATCAAATTTTACCAAGACATGTTTTACTTTTTTGAATAAAAAACTGAATTTATACATTTTTTAAAACCATACTTAGTGTTAATACATTTTTTCTTAAAGTTATTGTGGTTTCCAGCCAGTTACATCACCGCACCGTAGCAAAAATTTGTAACTCAGTCGTGGCCTTTGATCAGTCACATCACCACAGAGTCCTGGGCGAAGTCATATGATCGTCGCAGCCCTCGAAACAGCTGCATTGCCGCGATTTGTCTGTCAAATAAGTATCTACCCATAAGTCATCAAAATCTATTTCTCATTGCAAATCCTCTCATTATACTTATAGTTTGTATTTACAGCTTATGAACAATAAAAACACTTTTGGCTTTGCTAAAAAGTTGTAAATTTACAAAAAAAGTTTGATTCGTCCGATTTTAACATCTGCTCGATTTTCATACAAATAAAAAAAAATAACAAAAATAATAATGATAAATATATATATTTGGAAACTATGTCTAAACTTTTAACAAATATAAATACAATATGCATAAAGTTTATATTTGTTTTAGAAATATTATTTTGGTTAATATCTGAATTAAACTCATTACCGAATTTTATTTTTAATTACGGTATTCGTTGCTTTTATTTATCTTAGCTATTTAAATAAACGCAAATCAATTAAATAAATTCTGATTAAAACAAAATTAAGTAATAAGGATACATTTCTCTAACACTTTAATTAAAAAAACAGCATAATTATTGATAAATATTATTCCACTAACTTTACAATCACTAAATTTCATTGGAATTCACTCTTTTATAATTTTATGAATGCAGTGTAATTCATCACGAATATCATATACAAACGTAGTACAATAATTAATATAATTTCCTAACAATTCCAAGATATCACATACACAAATATTTAATTTATATATATAATTTGTACACAATTTATAATAAAGGCTATTAAAAAAAAAAAAAAAAATTGTATACATAGTATTACTTCACAATACAATATTTAACTTAGTCCTAATGATTTTATATAACACAAATACCACCATTATTTGATTTCGCTTGTGCAAAGCTCTAGGCCGGTTAAAAAAATAAAAAATAAAATAATTAATACTTAACAAATTTAAGATCTTTGAAACATTATTTTGATTCGCTCATGAGAGGCTCCTGGCCAATTTTTAAAAAATAAATTAATACTTAGTATATTTAACGAACCATGAATAAAAAATTTAAATTTAACATAATTTACCAAATTCAAAACTATCATAACTTAATTTAGTAATAAACACTTTTCTAATTATGAACCGAGTCACCTAATTGCTATATGCAAACATACCAGGTCTAGGAGACGTCACTTCAACCTGATAATGCTAATTAACTGCAACCCATAGGAATTTCTTTATAAAGTTTCTAACACAGAAAAATTATATCAAAAAGAATATCACTAAAAATAGCATTATAGCATCAAATTTAATGGCAATAATAAATATATTATCAATAAAAAATAAAAGCAACGAAAATAAACAAGAAACATGGCAAAAACTTTTATTGCAATAATAATAGTGCTATAAATAAATAGCAAAAATAATGTGCTTGGTTTGGACTTAACTGGTTTGAAAATACTAACTAGGTACTGATTCGCATCGAAGCGTTTATTGAAAAGAGATTTTATCACTTTCAGTTGTAATAATTCCTGTAAACATTATGCCCCAATTCCACTGTACTGGCTTTTTTTTTTGTTACATTCATTTTATTAAATTTAAGCCATTTTAATCAAAATAATTTTCGTAAATACGTTTTGCTACTTTGTATTTTAAATACAGTAGCCTATCTATTTTACACTTAGTAATTTAAATTGTCACCACAGGCCAATTTTAGATTTTTGTATTTCTTCCTCGGAGTGAACTACTTACTGCGATTTTGGCCAAATAAAGTACTTTACAAGTTCGATTTTTACCTTGCTATATAATAAAAATCAATGTATTATGGGTTAAGAAAAAAAAATGATTACTACATAATAAACCACCTTCTCAACTCTGTACCGGAGGCAACTGTGACTAATATAAATTGCTTTTATGATTATTATTATTTTCAGAAAAAAAACGAGATCATTATTTTTTTTTAATATCATTTATCATTGTAAATATTTCGGCAGATGTTTTAAGTAATTATTTAATTTTCACAATTACCCACTTAAGGCAGTCAAAAAATTGAATAAAGTCAATATTTCCCTTTTTTTACAGCTGAAAATTAGACGGATGCTGTCATTACAAGTCGGTAACATTATTAGTTTGAAAAATTAATTTATTAAGTTTTTAAAATTCATTGATTTTTTAAACTTATTTTTCAAATTATTACAGATGAAGCAATCGGGCTTGCGAAGAAAAATAATGATTTAGATATGAGTAAAATGTATATTTAAAATTAATATGCTAATACATGTATACATGTTTTGTTATCTACACCTAATTGTCAAATTATTTTACTTAAGTAGTTCAAAATTTAAAAAAAAATTATTTTCTTTTTACAGCATAATTATATGAGAACGGTTACGGTTTCAACTACAAGTTAGTAACATTTTTGGTTTTAAAAAAATAGTTTTTTAAGATGTTAAAACGTACTGTTTTTAAATTATACATTTCAGCCGCAGTCATCAAACTTGCTCGCAAAGCAAGTAAGACATGTTTTAAATTAATATGCTAATATATAAATGCTTTGTTATGTGTACCTAATTGGCAAATTATTTTTTAATTTATAATTATAGTTTTTGTCAATAGAATCAATAAACACTTGACACTAGGCAGTGACCAAATTACCTAAATATAGAGGGAGAAGCGTTAAGTTAAATGACAATTGCTTAAAGCACGGTTATAATCGCATTCTAAAAATGTATAAACCTAATATTTTGATTCGATTTAAATCTATTATTATAGCTCAAACTTTTATTTGTTTGTTCTAGACGAATTTGAGCGTGTAATGGAAATATCCGTTGACACTGGATTTGATACGGGATTGGTTTGGAAAGAAAAAAATAGAACATAATCAAATTAACCGTATTATCAGCTATTATCGATTTTGTTGTTGTCAACTCCTTTTGTCCGCGCCGCGTTATCAATCCCGAGACTCTGAACCCGAAGCGCACAAACTACAGCGGCGGCGGCGGCAACGACTGCTTTGCCTCTTCCCCCGCGTAAACCGTTCCGCCCACTCAGCCCTCGCTCGTCGCCCGACTCAACACACACACACGCAGACAGACAACGGCCCACGGCGCGATGACGATACCCACCGCCCGCTCAACCGCCCGGACGGGCATACCTTTTTCGTTGCGCGCGCCGCGTCGAGTGGAATAGAGCATTTTGAGCAGCTGTGTTGTAGTACCCACCGGCCACCGGTCCACCGCCTGCCACTAGCTAGTGTTCGACGCGGATTAAGCGGAGGCCGTTTATGACTATGTCCGTCTGTGAGCCGCGTCGCAGCATGTGTGTGTGTGTCTGTCTGTATGTATTGTAATCGATAATAATAACTGCCTAAAAAATCAGTTTACATAATATTACAATAGTATGTTGTTTACGTTTTACGGACAACGAAATCGCAAACGATTATTTTTTTTTTATATTTTATTATAGTGGTTTTTTTTGTTTTGTTTTTTGCGATCAGTTTAGATCGTTGAAATGTTCACCCGTTCGTGACTTCTATTTTGCACACACACATTCGCGAACGCGCGCGCGCACACCGATTTACACTAAAAAAAAAAACAACCGTTTTCACTTTCCCGTCAAATTTGTTTCTTATTTTTCGTTACCGTCGCGTTAAAAACTGTATTTTTCGTTTTGTTTCGGCCGTTGTTGTCTTTTGATTTTTCCAATAATATCGTTATAATCGAACGCCGCCGATTGATCGACCATGACTGTTTGAGATCGGTCGCAGTTTTTTGAATCGTTTTTTGGATAGTCCTCGCGCTCAAGTTATGCTGTTGGCTGTACTTTGCTGAGAACAGCTCCGGACCATATTTAGCACCGTAAGTACCGATCCGACAACATTTGTAACGGATAAGGTGATTGCGATAGGCTGATCCGTTCGGACAAGAATACTTTCCATCTCGTCCGATGGACATTTTGGTCACAACAGCTGTAATGACTTCCAGTCATACAGAAACTTAAAGGGTGACCTCACCACAGTCTTGTTAAGTTTACGCAAACATAACAAGTAGCTGTAGTATTCCTATCGTCTGGTTATCATATATGCTAACATATTTGTTTGTCATCTATGGCTCAATCGATTTTGGTACATGAATATGGTGTAAATTAGTATAATTGGTATACTATATTCATTTAATTTTTAAATGTCCAAAAACATAGCTTATTAATAATAAATGGAAGGGTTAAAGGAATTGCACTCATGCCCTTTGAAACTGTTAGATAGGCAAAGTTCTGTCACAAAGATGTCTGCCATACTTAAGGTACCCTGTGTTTTTTTTTTTAGCAGATTTGCAGCTTCAATGCAGAACTGAAAAATTATTGTTTTCATTTTTTTTTTGTCTTGACTTAATGTCTTCTAAACTGCTGAACCAATTTCTTTATGTAGCATTTCTAAACATCAGAAATCATATCTGAAAGTACTTAAATAAATCAGATATTTAAAGAGTTGACTGCTTCTTTTTTAAAATTGAGAACACCCAAAAAAATATATTTATATTTTTCAACTTAAAATTACGGTGTTCTATTACATTTTTCAAAATTGTCCAATTATTTAAAAATATGTAATCAATATTCATTATATAGTACTACCGATAAACGTTGATAAACAAAAACAATATCATTAACTCTTTTCCCTAGAAGGGGTAGAAACTTTTTTTTATTTTGCTTTTTTAGGTAAAGTTTTAGGGTTTAAGGTCTAAAAATTAGACCAAAGGTAGATCTAGAATGGGGTTATTCCCCATGTTTATGATATTCATAAACAATTTTCTCAAAAATGTGTAGGTAAATTTTTTTTTAAATAAGGAAAACCAAAAAAAAGAAGAAAATTTATACTTTGACTGTAGTCAATTTCTATGTTGCTATGTGCTTACAAATTTTAAATTTAATAGTCCTATTTTTTTTAAAAATGTTGTACAAATTGCGATGTTAACATTTGTAAGTTTTATTTTTTATAACAATTGAAAACTTAGAAAAATACAATTAATGCTGTATTTGAAGAGTGATTTAGAAGTTTAAATCCACAAATTTTTATAGTATATCTTTTTAGGTTATAATAAATTCTAATAGATCAGAATATAAGCTTACATTGTATTATGAGTAGGTATATACTTATTTATTACTATATTAAAAAAAAATATTACCTTCTATCAGTGCAAAACAATTGTAATTATTTACAAAGCAAACATCAGCCATAATTAATTTAAACATGACAACTCATGGTCTCTTGCAATAGGTATTAACATTTTTATGATATTAATTTCCCTTGTGAAATTTAGGTATTATTTATTATAAATATACTTCTTTTAAAGTGCTTATTTATATGATGTAACTCTTTCAGTAAAAATATAAACTATTAAAATAATAAAATACTTAACAATTTATACAAAATATCAGGTAATTAAAAAACTTTCTTAATCAAATATCCAATTGAATTTGTCACAACTGTATTAAATTAACTTAGTTTTGGGTATAAGGTAATTTTTTTACACCACAAATTTTAAATAGTACCTATGCTCTAATAAAGTATACTTCAACAGTAAACTCAATGATAAATCATATAAATATTATGTTTTTAACAATTTCTTTAAACATGTAATCTGGTTATTTGGCTACCATGCAAATTGAATATGAATATTACGACATAAGTTGAAAATAATTATACTATAATTTCAATCTTACAAAAACAAAAGGATATATTTGGGTGAATTGTATGAAAACTTAGGTAATTGTAAATAATCGAGTTAAATGAAAAAATAATTACTACATAATACATTTGTGAGTGTTTGTTTTTTAAATTATAATGTGATTGACAATGTTTTACAGGTACAGTTTGTTTGAAAATGAACGAAGGCGTGATTCTCGATTTTAAAGGACCAGATAGGGATAAGTGTAACTATTACAATCGAACAAGAAACAGACTTCTTATTACTGCATACGAAGGAATACCTGAAAATCTGTTACTCAATATTCTAGGATGCCTAGTAAGAACGTTATTGTAATTCTGAACCAAACTCACTATCAATACTTACACATTTGTTTTCATTAAAAATAATTTTTTTAGTTTTTAGTTATATTTTTTGCTTTCATGAGAAAAAGAGCATGGGATTATGGACGATTAGCGCTAGTCAACAAAGATTATGAAAAGTAATTGTTTTTTATGCAAGTATAATTATGTACACATATTTAAACAGTTCAAATTATTTAGATGGTCACGCATATTTTACGGTACTACAGACGAAAGCTCAGACAATTATATCGAGGACGGTAACTCCACTACGACTTTGGACAATTCCATGCCGGTCGATAGGGGCATGTTTTCTTGGTTTTTGACAATTATTCAGCTTAGGTAAGTCTATTGTTTGTTAACGAGTTTTACCTTCGATGAGGCGGTAAGAAGGTATTGTTTTTACAATTTTTTTTTTTTTTGGACCCACAATATCGTTTAAACTGCTTAACCGATTTTTCTTGTAATATATGTATAGATCAGAAATCGTGCCTGAAAGGTACTTGATAGGGCCAAAAATTTAAAAAGATCATTATAACGTTTTGGGAATAAATAAATGTGTAATATTATTTCTAGTTTCTGTTCATGAACATAATTTTGAATTGAACAAATAAACAACTGAACCCTGATAATAATTCCTGAAAACCTGGGATCTTCCTGAACACAATGTGCTCTTCTCTACTATATCCCACCTCCATTGTGCTTGCTTTTTTAAAATTATGTTAGAGTTTACTTTTAATTAGTTATGGGGATTTTTTTTTTATAACAATTGTCCCTACACGCTAATTGTATTTTTATTAAATTGTTACAAAACTTTTTAGGGATGAGAAAATTTTACGAAAATGCGGGTATGACGCTGTGCAATACCTTTCATTTCAACGTCACATTATGGTGTTAATGGCTATTATTACCGCAGTGTCGTTAGGAGTTGTACTGCCAATAAATTTTGCTGGCGATTTGGAAGGCGACGAAAGATCGTTTGGACACACTACAGTCAGCAATCTACATCCAAAGTGAGTATATTTATTTTGAAAAAATGTATTACAATATTTGTTTTTTTACGCGTGTAACTTTTATTTTAAGTTCACCGTGGCTGTGGGTACACGTGACAATTGCAATGCTATATTTTCCGTTAACTATATGCATAATGAGAAGGTTTTCCGCTAATTTAAAATTAGAGGAGAACGGAGAGCAATGGTCTCGTACACTTATGATTACTAGTATTCCCAGACACAATTCTGACACCAATGATTTAGATCGACATTTTAGGTGAGTTGATTTGATGTTTTCATTGTCGATTAAATAATAAACCATTAGTACCTTAACCTAATAATTTTTTTAATTTATATTTTTTTTATTAGAGAGGCATATCCAGAATGTGAAGTCGAAAATATTCAGTTGGCTTATGACGTTACTAAAGCAAATGAATTGGAAAGAGACAGGTAAAATTTTTTTTACACATATCGACACAATCGAACAAATTTACATATATTTTATATAAAACTCTGGTGATACAGTGTTGCATTTAATTTTCTTTTTGTTTTCAACAGAGATGCTGCTTTTCAAGCCAAACAATATTGCGAAAATCATTTAAAAACTGTTGGTGAACGCTTGACTGTTCAGCCTCACATTTGTGGCTACATATGTATATGTTGTGGAGCGTGCAAATCTTACAATTTGGATGGTATTGACTATTATTCCAAAGAAGAAGCTCGATTAAAAGCCATGGTAAGACTCAAAATTAGATTAGTTAGAAACCAATTTTTTAATAATTTATGATTCAATGTACCAAAATGTGTTATATTGTCTTTCAATTGCATTACAGTTGGAAGCAGAAAAAGAATCCGCTCTTAAACGGCCTTTAGGTATAGCTTTTGTTACAATGACTACGATACATGCAGCCCGACTGGTTCACCAAGATCATGTGTACAAGTTATCCAAGTGTGGACGCCATAATCCACCGACCAGTTCTGTTGCTGGTCTTCTCCAGCCGTATCGATGGAGAGTCACGTTTGCTCCGCCTCCAGACGATATATTTTGGTACGTTTATATCGCGGTAGTTTCCTCTTTAATTAGAAATATAATAATGTTATTTTATTGTTATTTTTTTGTTTTATTTCAGGGAAAATTTAACCGAACCCTCTCACAACCGTTATTGTAAGATAGTATTGACTAACTCATTTTTGTTGGTAGTTTTATTTTTTTTGACCACTCCTGTCATTGTATTGAATGTTATGGACACACTAAAACTTAGAGAAATTGAAAAAGCTGTAAGTTATCAAGTGTTTCTGTTATTGAAAATAATTTACAACATTGATCTTTTTTTTTATCCTCAGAGCCCAATTTTATCAGAATTTATGCCGACACTATTACTTTGGACGGCCGCCGCTCTTTTACCTGTGTTGGTTATACGATCTGACCAGTGGCTCAGTCATTGGACTAGATCAAAACGGAACCATTCAATAATGCGTAAAACTTTTGTGTTTCTTCTGTTTATGGGTTTGATTTTACCATCGTTAGGACTAACCAGGTAAAATTAAATAATCTTATTTTCTTATAACAACCAATTAACATGAAAATTTATAATTTTAAGTGCTCAAGCGTTTTTGGAATTTGCTTTTCAAGCTGGAATTCAAACGTACCGTTGGCAGTGCGTGTTCTTACCTGATAAAGGAGCATTTTTTGTAAACTATGTTGTCACTTCTGCGTTGATCGGAACTAGCTTAGAACTCATAAGGTTTCCCGAATTATTTATGTATGCTCTTCGACTATCACTTTCAAGGTAAACATTTTGTTATTGAATTTAAAAGATATGTACGATTTCGTACATATCAATTCATTAGACTTAAATAAAGTATCATTTAACTAAAAGTATCTTGTAGATATTGTAAAATTTATCAAACAATATGCTAAATAAAATGTACATATTTTTTTCTCTGAAAATTAAAATTAAATAATCAAGTCAATAACTGTTTGCATTCGACAATAATAGAAGTATTCAAGAGTTTGTTAAGTTAAAAATAATGCCTCAAACCCCTTGTTTCCAAAAAGTGAGGTTAAAGTTTACTTACCTAAAATACAAAAATTCCTTGTTTGTTTTAAATTATAATACAATGTTTTTTCTCAATGAAATTTGTTAAATATTATTAGGTCAAAAGCAGAATCCGCAAGCGCTCGAAGATTAATTCTTTGGGAATTCCCATTTGGCGTCCAATATGCTTGGATGTTGCTGATATTTTCAATTGTAACAGTGTACAGTCTTTCTTGTCCACTCATTACACCTTTTGGTAAGAACATATTGTGTGTTTGTAAAATGGAAAAAAAAATTGTTATATAGTGTCGTTTATTTCCTTATTTAGGTCTTTTGTATATGGTTACAAAACATTTTGTCGATCGATACAATATTTATTTCGCATACGGAAAATCTAAAATTAGTAAACGTATACATAGTACAGCCATCAATTGTGTAATGGTGTCCTTAGTGTTGTTACAAGTGAGTTTTACATCTCTGTCAATGTTACGTCACGGATTACACGACATCACATGGTTTGCCTTGGCCGGTCTTTTCATCACATTGGCATTTACACTATCTCAATGTTTCTTCCGACATTGTACCGCATGGAGTCCTATACTTTACCAAGTAAATTGAAAGTCTTATTCATTCTAATAGATCTCTCCTATACCATTTATTTTGTTTTGTAATTTAGGCGAGAAATCCACGTACCGTTCAACCCAGTCCAGGCAGGCGGAATCATCTCAACCATGTTGCAGATTATATTCCCGACGTGCTACGACAACCTCTAGCTTCTACTACGGCCAACTCTTTATTGACATTGACTCCCAACGATTCTGGTACAACGTTGGAAGACTTGGACTTAGGGATTAAGAATATTGAACACCATCAAAGATTCCCAAATGGTCAATCCCAAACTCAGGTGATAATAGAATCTCAAAACCGCTGTGATCAACTTTACCAGAACTACGACTTTAGTCAGACAGTTCCTGTATAAATTGTAGTATGTTCTTTGAAAGGCAACTCCGACTAACAAAAGTCACTGTTTAAGTTTTTTTAATTTCAACAACGTGTTCTGAACACGTATTTTCGGTTGTGTTAACTTATGTAGTATTATTACACATGTTATATACGTATATATATAAATATTAATTGACGATTCCTATAGACTTAATTTTAACCAAGTTCGGAAATTACCGTCCTACTATACATCACTCACCGACCATCACATATTACACATTTCAGTTTATTATTTTTGTCCTGACAACGTTGCACATTTAAATATTTACTTGAATTTAATAATACTAATGTTAGACGTTTGTCGGTTTGTGTTTAGAAATATTTTTGTTATAATTTAATTTGATCAGCTTAAAATGTTTCCGAAAGTAGGATTTTGTGTGTAGTATTAATCACAAAATTATTTTTTTATGTTGTACCTATAGAACTATGCTTCTGAAATATTATTGCTGAACAATCACAATATTTTAGTCTTAGTAAATTACATTGTGATAAAAAAAATGTATACATATTTGTAGGTCTTGAATTTTTAACACTGTAATTATAATGTTAAAATTATCAAATAAGAAACGAATTCATCTTTAAACGCGTATAAATGCATTTAGGCGGTCTTATACTTATAATTTGAATAATAATATCATTTTTTATATGTGATATGTATTCTATAAAAAAAAGTAACCAAAGTACAACTTTCTCTTACGATAAAAATAAGTCAATAAACACTTTTGAACATCGCTTCAGACATATTGTATAACCTGAAATTTGACCTTGTATTTATGATAATGAAATACTTGTTTTTTTCTTGATATAGTTTGCGCTTGGAAACACTAGTTGTGTATTTGATCGTTTTTGTAATTTTTTACTAACATATTTTTTAAACAATGATTAGACAAGTGATTAAAATTTACCAAAAAGGAAAAGTATTGACATTAAAAAAATAAAAAACGGAGATGTTATTAAATGTGATGAATTTCAATTTATCGTTACTGAAAATATACCATGTGCAATACCATTTCCAAAAAATAAAAAAACATATATGTTTTATCTTAGGAGGTAAATTATTAATACTTTCATCTTAGGGTAATGCTTTATGTGATTGATCTCTAAACAACTGGAATAGACTTTTTTTTGCTTCTAACAAACATTGAAAATTTTTTTCATTCTTTACATGGAACGAGTGTCAATCAATGAACGATTCCTGTTTTGAACTATATTATTATTTATCGTCTTTACTTCTGTGCCGTTCGCTTGACATTGCTGTCTTAATTTTTGTCCGTACCATCAATTCCTTCTTTTTAGGTTCAATACTATATTTACCAATCTTTCATTTACCTTATGTCTAGTATACAAAGTAGTAGTTGTAGTAGTGGTTAATATTGATTAGTAATAATTATAACAAATGATTAAAATCCATAATTAATATAACTATGTAAACACCACGCTTGTATGTGATAATCTATTATATTATTTTGTCAACGCTTTTTACATATTTATACTCGTAAGTAGGTATGTAGTATTTATCATAGGACATTATTGATTTTTTTTTAATATTCTGATGATGTTTAATATCTGATGATAAAAAAAAAAAAATAATACTATTACCATAAATAGTATGTGTGATCGCGTTTTGTAATAGGTATATCTTGTGTGTATCTAGTCTAAAAAAAACTATATATATATATGTATATTAATATAAAAAAAAACCTGAACGAAATAATATTGAGTTAAGTGTTAATAACTCAACATTATTTATTAATGCTATTTTGTTTTATATTTATTTTGAAAAGATAAAAAATTCAAAAGTAACTACGCAATTCAAATATGTATCGTTTTTCATCATCAAGCGAGTCGATAGCATAATTTTTAAGCTTACCCGATTTATAACATTGTGAACACTTTTAACAACTTAATTATTCGATATTGACAGAGTTAAAATGTTTAGTGAAAAATGAACCGGCCACTATTTATTATGACAAAACTATTGTTGTACGCCCTTGTCAGTACTTAAACACCAAATAAACGTTATTGACTGTTATTATTTCTACTCTACCAGTTGTATGTTTTTATATTTCAATTAATATTTACAACTATTATTCTTGTTTTTATTATTTAATATTAAAACGATAAATAATAACATACTATTTACATGTACATCAGTTGTTTTATTTAGACACGAGTCAATTTACCATAATTATTATTTTAGTCGTTTATTTGTGCGAAACATAATATTTATTAAAAATATGTATTTTATTTTATAAACCGATTTATGTTATTAATGTTGAGAATCTCTTTAGCTAAAAATATAACAATAAATAAATTAATACATACCTAAATATTTATTATTATTTGTATTATGTCTTCCGCCATAACATTTTTTTGAAAAATATTTCAACGTACATTTATCGTTGTTTAATTTTCTTTACTTGTACAAGGTGATTAATTTAAGATAAGACAATTATTACCTCGGACAATAATTGCAACTTTGTAGTTTTTCTTTTTGTTGTATGTTATTTTACAATGTTGTTATATTACTTACCTTCCTAGTAGTTTCTAGGGCTCTATCAACTTTTGAAACTTAAATGGTATCATATATATTTAATTAACTTTTTAAATTAATAACAATTTGCTGAACATGTTGTTTGGTAGATAATCAGTTTTAAATAGTTACTTTTAAAGTTTAAAATTTGGGACGGGGAAACGGGGTGGATGGAGTGTAGTATTATTTTCATCTGGACACGTTACTCTATCACACTCTCCTGTCTTAAATTTTAAGCTTTGTAAGTAATTATTGAAAACTGGTTATTGAAACAAGTCAAAACTTTCAACAACTTTTTCTTCTATTATCTAAAAAAATTAATTAATATATATATGTTACCATTTGAGTTTTAAAAGATGATTGAGCTCTGGAACAAAATAAAAATATAACAATTTGAATATTGTCTAATATTTTGTAAAATAACTCAAATCAAAGTGTCTCCAAAAAGAAAAACTACAATACTGCAATTATTTTTAAGAGAAAATGAGTATCTTACGTTAAATTGATCAGGCTGTTTATATTTATATTGATTTGTCTAAACGAATTTCGTCAAACTACTGCTCAATAACTCAATCAACACAACAGGTATACTTAACTAAAATAGAATAATAGAATAAATCAATTTGGAATGAGGTGATATTAAAACGAAATTATTAAAAATAAAATTAAAAAATTGTACTTAAACTAAACAACAACAAACTACTTTTACATTTTATTTTTATTTACTTATTATCTTTTATTATCAAAAAAAAAAAAACAATAATAAAAAAAGGCTTGCTCGTGACGGTATAAAAAGTATATCGTGTTTATTCGACGAGAAAAAAATGAGATTATACAAAATAATTCACTAATAAAAATATGACATTACACAATTATTATTATTTATATATAATATATTGGACGGATTCGTATTCGTTTCTAAAACAACAAATTATGATATAATAAAAATCATTATAATTTTTTGTTCCGTTTTTTTCACGAATAATAACTTAACTAATATAACTACGTCTACAAACTACTTACTAGCAACTATTATTACACATTATTTGGGCATAGGCACACCGCTAAAAATTACAATGAATTTTCGGTGTTTTATCGCCTACGCATACTATAATAATACTTATAATGGTACGATTCGTTGTGTGTCTCGGGACACGCGTATTAATAATATAATATTAAATATTAATTATAGCCATAAACTATCAAAAAGTGCACTGTGTTATAATTTCGGTAAACTAAAATATTATAAACGAGATTACAACAATGGAGGAAGCGAAATAATATTACACAAGTAGGCTGCGAATGGCACATTTCCTAGCCGATTTTTTACCATACACATGTTTTATGGAATAACAAAAATCAACTAATCCGAGTACGGCCATTTGCTCGCTAATATTATAATGAACACATTAGTCAGTTCTTAAAACAAAAGTTCTTAGTACAAAAATGTAAAAGCAAAAGCGTGTTTACTGTATTTTAACATGCGCAATAACGAAAAAATAAATATGGTTGCGCGTTAAAATATAATATAAATTTACTATATTAGTGTCGTCTTTGGCTTGTGTAAAGTTACAATATATGATATAAGATAATTGGTGTACGGTTTAGCGTAGCACGTATTAATTACAGCAAAATAAAATGGTGATGTATCGACGACATAATACTAGGTATATATTATGTCTCATGTATTGTATGTCTTAGTAGACCCAGTTGACAGGTACCCATTGGTGCTCGTTCGAGATGATTTCCAAAGCTTCGATCACTTTGCGGAACGTTTGATCAAAGTCTTCGTTGACAATAACCAGATCAATGTATTTCTCGTACATTCGTTGTAAACAAGCGCTTTCCTCCAACTGTTTCTTCACATCATCGTCCTACAATTAATAACGCAAACACTTTAAAATAATGTTACAAACACAGTGGGTTTTAGTCCCTAGGGTCGCTTGTCTTCATAGCGACTGTATAGTGAGTGAATAATTGAAGTTAAAAATTCACTTTGATGCGAAACTGTTGATGGTATACATAGAAAATAATTGTGTTTAGAATATTTAGAGTTATTTGGTTTTTTGGGGGTTGTCTTGGTAAAAAGATTGTCAATTAAAAAAAAAAATGGTAGTAAGGTGAGCATATTTTCAGAATATGTTGACTAGTCGATTTATAATGTTTACAATTTTTTAATGTCGTATAACAAACAACAAAAGTTTAAGTGACCGATCCAGAAATATATATATTTTTTTAAAATAACATTAGGATTTTAAAACTTATACCACGCTTAGTGGTACCCTTAAAAAAGGCTCTATATAGACGGCAGATATAAAAGTATGGGGGGGGGAGGGGCAATATACTTTTTCAGTTTCGCATCAAACACAAAAATCGATAGTTTTTAAAAAGTATTTCGGTTTCAACTAATTTTTACACGTGACCTCTTTCTCAGACGATCCGGCATGACAAAATAATATTTACTTACCTCATAAATCGAAGCGAGCGATTCTAACGTGCGAGCTCTCCTAGAACTATATCTAATGGAACTCTGGCGATCAAACTAAATGTACAAACAAATTATAACGGGTAAATCAGTCGATTGTATACACACATATATATATATTTTTTTTTTTTACACTCACAGTTAGCGTACGACTAGAATAGCCAAAGTTCCTCGAGAAATCGTACAGGCTCTTCATGATTTCCACGCCCGGAGCCGCTATGAATATCACGTACGGCATGAATTCGGACGAGTTGTGAAGAATTTTCAACGCCTGTCACCAAAAAAGGGGAGGGTAAAAAAGGCGTTCATAACTCTGATAGTACTTAGGTCGGTCGGAAACACCACTTACCACTGGGCTGCAGTCCAAGACGCACATCTTGCCCTGGTTAATAACGTCCCGTATGGAATCCAAGTTGGTACCGTAGAAATGACCACCGTGTTCGCCGTACTCCAAAAACTTGTGCTCGTGGATGTCGTGTTCCATTTGTTCGCGGTCGACAAACCAATAGTTCTGGCCGTTTTCTTCCAATTCCCTTTGGGGTCTTGTCGTGTCTGCGGAAGGTACACGCGCCATTGACGTTACTCCGAGTCGTCACACTATAGTAGGTAATATATTCAATACTCACATGGTATTACTCCGGCAAACTTTGCAGGATCGCTGTTGATCAGGCGGCCTTTCAGAGTCCTTCTGCCCACGCCGGTCGTGCCGACCAACGCCAGTGTACGCCTTTTGAACGGTGGCATCTTGGTGACTTCTTCGTATAGTATCAATTCCGCCTTGTCGAATTCACCGTTCCATTTCGATTGGTACATTTTCTTGCATTTCTTTTTGGAAATCTGTAGAAAAAGAACACATTTTTAGGTAAACACAACCGGTACAGCAGTGGGGGATAACAGGCCCGGGAGAGCTTATGTACTGCAATCAAATTTCAATGTTTAAACCATTTTTGTTAGACATAAATTTTTATTGTAAAGTCGTTTCAAAGTATTAACATTTTAACGCTTCCCTGATGTTTTCCATTTTTACCTCAACCCGTAGACGGCATAAACATTTTTTCAAAATTGGATAGTATATTTTTTCAATTGCCTATTACTTACTGGAAATGTTAAATTGATATCGTGTTTATTGACGATGAATGTAATAATAATTAACTTTATAGAACTTGTTATGTATAGTTAACTACATGCTAGTGACCATAAATTATAACGTTAAAGACGCACTAGTTCAAACAATATTATGGATTTTTAAAAATATTTTTTCTTTTGATATAGTTGACGAGGGTAATTTTTATGTTCTTTAAGAAAAAAGCGTATTTTAAAGGCTAAAAATAATGATAAAATGAATCAAATTGTTTGTTGAACGATTTTTATCTAAAAAAAAAAAAAATACTATTTATTTTATTAACTCTTACCCTAGTTCCACAAATGCTTGTTTTATGAACATAATCGGCTTCCGGCGCGACAAAAGCTTTGCGTCTTTCCTCGAGTTCTTGGGACGGGATCAATCCGGGTAGCTCGTTTTCACCTACCCTCTTAGCTTGCCACCAGTTGGGATCTTTTTGATCGAGTACCTGTGCAAAACGAATACCAACACAAATTAGCTAATACATTTCTTTTTTTTTTAAATACTATACTCGGTTTATCAAAATTAAAAAAAAAAACAAACCTGAAGAATATCGCCGTGTTTGAACGAAACGCCAATTTCTCGGCACGGAATGAGATTATCTTCCGAAGGATCGTAATCAAACAGTGCTCTCATGTAACACTAAACAAAACAAAACACAATATTATCATTAGGAAAACAACTTACGGAATGCACTACTTCGGTTTTAATGTCTTTCCGAATGACTCACTTGCTGCGTTCTGGTAGTGTTTTTGTGGTAAAACCCCGGTGCGATTCTCAACTGTAGCGTTTCTTTGCTGCGACTGACTTCGTTCATAAGATCTTCGGGGCTGTCCACTCTTTCGCCGTTTACTTCCAGAATGACGTCTCCTTTTTTCAACAGCCCTTGCCTTTCGATGGCGCCGCCCGCAAATATCCTGGCCACGATGAGGTTGCCGTTTTCGTCTTGTTCGACCGTTAAGCCCTGTAATTAGTATTCATTTTAATTAAAAAAAAACCACACGGACATTCAACAAGAAAGGAATGAATTAACACTATAACTCACCAGCGGTTCGTCCGGCTTCTTTCGCAATCCTATTACTTTGTACTGTGTGGACATCTTTGTTCCGTTTTGTTGCTGAGGTGGTGTCGGCGGGGTCGGCGGTAAGTCTGATCTGTCCAACGCTCTTTTTAACCTCTTCAGAGCTATTTTATCGTGTATCTCTAACAGGGCCTGTCGACACATAATACGGTCAGACGACGTTAGCAAAACTAATAAATCAATCTAATTTATCTACTGCTATACTTTGAGCCTAAAATAATCGACCCCACCCCTTTTTGTAAACGTCGACAAATGCGCTTTTGTTATAGCGTGTGTCATAAGGTTCTTTTAACATTTTTTAGCCCCAGAATTATGAACATATATTATTTCTATGCTGTCTTTTGCTTTTTTTTTTACACAATTTAAAAACGCGATTGCATTTACAATGTGTTTACCCCTGTTGATCCTTTTCGACCCAAAGTATACCTAGATTTTTGTGTTCGACTATTACTGTTAAGTGTCTCGTCTCACCCTAAAGTGTAATTTGGTAAAAATTGACAGCAAATCCTTGGCCGCCGGTTGTTTGGACGCTTTGCACTGGTGGCACACTTCGTTCAGCGTTTGCTTAGAGTTGCTGGCGACCGGCTCACAAGTTCTGCACTCCTCCAAACAGTTTTGAACCTGAACGACAAAACGAGTAGTGACGTTAACTTTCCACATTGTCGTGTCAGAATAAAAAAATAATAATAATAATAATAATTTACAGTCGGTATTTAAATATTAATTACCGAGTGGAGAGTAAAAAAAAAAGATAAAACTGCCGTATATGTACTGTGTACAGGGAGCATAAATAATACCTATTTTAGTGTATACAGTTATCAGTTTATTAGCCAAATGATATGCAATATAGCGGCCATTACGTTTCCATAGTAATACCGCATTTGTTTGTGTATAACGTGACTAAAAACATGTACATGTCACAATAATAATTGGGGAGTAGATATTTTATTGGCATACCACTCATGTTCGTTTATTTATTGCATTTCGACTGGTAATAAAAATACACAATTAAATGTACCGAAACACTTACAACTAACCGAAGATTAACAAAGCTCAACCGACCGGGATGGCTTTGGTTAATAAAAAAACAAACATCGAGAGTTTGCAGTTGTAATCATTATTTTTATTATCGTTATCTGTGTTCGATTTGGATACTGTCAATTTGGAAAAACGTTGTGCATTTGCTTTAGGCCAACTTGACCAAGTATAAAGAATTCGTGTGGACAAGCCAGTTTATATCATCGAGTTTAAGCTCAGACCGACAATTGCAAAAGTATTCAATTAGAAACAATTAACGCGAATGACCTCACCGCCGCGGTACGAACAGAATGAATGGAAATAATAATAATTATATTGTTAGCGTATGAGAACAAAAAATACGTCAGAGACCCGAGAGAAGTCGTTGACTGATATATTACTTAAATTAGATTTCGGTGACGACAACAACAACAACAGAACCATCAAACTCAATGAAGATATCCTTCGTTTATTTCTTCCTTAATGGTATAATCCTTCGGTGTAAGATGCACTAGTCTTGAGAAATCCGAGGGAAATTTCAACAAGCAAAAGCATATAAGCTTATTTTTGGAGTGTGAAAAGTTGACCGCCAAAAACTATATGCGACATTGGCGCCGTGTCGCGTAAGACATTTTCAAAGGACTGGTAGTAAAAACGTTTTACTTCCTTGCTAATTTGTTAGACCTATATAAATGTTTTATTTTGAAAAAAAATTTTCAAACAAACCCGATACGAGTGGAGGAGCACTTGTCCTACCTTATCCCGGTTTTGTGTCGAAATGACAACAAAAAAAGCCAAGGCCGAGTATAGTTTTTTAGCGGAAACTCGGAAGGCCAAACAAGACGTGTGTGTGTGTGTAATGTGTATAGACTGACTCACCAAAACAAAAACCATTACCAACAATAATAATAATAATAAAACCACGCCCGAGTTACTACAAGAACTTTTGTTTTGGATTCATTCGGCAAAACAATATGATGATGACCCGGTTAACAAATTCGCTTTGACGGCGAATCCCGTAGGACAACACATTATAATATTACCCCACAAAATGCCGACATTTATCACTTATACTAATACTATTGATAATATAATATAGGTGTGTACCCGTGTGGTTGTTGTCGTCGTTCAAGAATTCCTCGGTGCTTGCGCGTAGGGCGTGGATACCCGCGCGAGTAGTGTGTTGGCGGATTCTGATTCGGCGACTAACTGATTTTCGCAGACGGGCAGAGACCACTTTTTATTAAGAAACGAAAAAAAATTGTAGAATTTGTTTTCAACTCACTCCTTCTGTCGTTTGGAACGCGTTTGGACCTCAGCTCGAAGTGGTCGGACGACACTACACACACGCGCTGTCGGTTTGGCTGGCGATGTACTACTACTATTTGCCTTGGCACCGGACAGACGTGTAGTGTGTAATGCACCAACGACTGGTTACGGGGCTGCCGAAGACTAGGTGGGAGAGAGAGAGAGCCGCATATTATAGTAATATGTCGTTATTGTTATGGTTATTATTATTACTATACAGAGGAGAGACCGCAACAGCTATGCACAGCAGCGCATTGTGGGAGGGCACACAGGCCAACGCGCACAGGTGGTTTAACGGATTTTTAAGGATTCTCAACATTCGGTCAGGCAGGTACATGCTGTCAGGTAAAAAATGCTGTTCCTGTCGGTGTCCGGATTTTCGACCTGACCGGGTTGGTTGGGTGGTGTGGTCTTCTTCGTGGCCGTCCAAAGGAAAAATGCCCGAACGCTTCTGCAGGCACGTTTTCGGTCCGAAATTTTCAAATAGAAATGTCTTAGGTCTAGGCCCGGCAATAATATACGACGACAAATACATTCTTTGTACAACCGACGGTATACACATTCCTCGACGGTGTCATTGTCACCTGACCGAGACTATTCCGTGGCTCAAATAGTTGTTCAAACAAAGCGACCATAGGGTCATCCTACGCGTTATTTACTCGGTAGTGGCCATTTTGCGACTGTCAAATTAGTCGCCTTATAATGGTTGATCAGTAATTGGTACAATAGAATAGAGTCTATAATTTAAAAAAAAAGACATATGCTCTCGAGCGCAATGTCAGAATATTGGCGTTATCAAAACTTAAATTTTGGGTTTGTACCCAAAATAACAACATTTTCTCAGTTTTAATACTTAAAATTCGTTCCTGGATTGAAAAACGCTATTTGCTATCATTTAATAAGTTGTTAATATTTTTCGAGTAAGGAATTGTCGTTTTAGCGGGTATCTCCTTTCCGTTTAACTATATTCAGTAGTTTCTTTCAGAAAACACATGAGTGTTACTAAAGTGATGTTATAATTATTGTTCGTGCATTTAAATATGATATCATGACGCCTGTGATTTGATATGGTGTACCTTTTATAATATGCACACTTTATTTAGTTGTTATTAAGTAGTTATTGTTACCCTGTACGGTGCAAGGACGATCGGCCGTGTTGGCAGAGACCGAACGGGGTCCTTAAAAAATCACTAACCTATAGCTGTATTGTTGTCTTCTGTTCTGTTGGGTTTCTCTTATTGTCACCGGTTGACCTCACTCGCTATAGGGTTCGTTGTCTATACGGGCGCCTGGCAATAGATCCAACATAAGTAACATTACCAGATACATATATTAGCTCTATTATATGGTTCATGTTATTATATAGGTTTCGTTTCAAGGTAGACGTACTCATTTAGGGTTTAACAAAACCGAAATCGGCTTATACCTAGCACCAAAGGATATAAACCAATATAATATTGTAATAATAATGTAGGTAAAATATAATGACAATAAAACATTATTTTATATCAAAAGTAGGTCATATCAAGTGATGTACGCCCACACACGATACTATTGTATTTAAGTCTTCGGTTTTATTTAAATGAAAAAAAAAATTGGGTTTCAAACGCAATAACACAAAATATGTGTGTTTGCATAGGTGCGGAATACGCGTAACACGCATTGGCATGTACTTACAATAATAATTTAGTTAAATTGCAAAACAAAAACGCATTTGAAATACTCAAAACGGTCCTAATTGCTTTAAAACTAACATGGCACCGGTCGTATGTTTATGCAAACCGCCATGTCCTACTGTACAATATTATAAAACCATTTATTAGGTGCCCATCTGTATAATCTACTGTGTATTACCTAAATGAATTACTATTGTTATTGTTATGGTTATAAGACATAATAACGATTTAAACGTATATCATGACCATTAACCGATTGTGTAATTAACATTCCAGTAGTCGCGTAGTCTTGTTATAAATGTTTGTGTATACATCCATATATTGTGTTTCTTTAGGTAGTTGTGATATTAATATCATATTTATCGTGAAATCGTAATGTAATATACCCAGAGATAGGAGATAATAGTATATCTTAATAGGTTCTGACAAGTTAAAGGAAGGGAAAAAAAAGTTGAAGCCAGACTTGAGGAGAAGCGAATTGATACTCGGTGATGTGTGAAAAGGATTAAAACAAAGAGACAGAGAAGAACAGTAAGAGGATTGGAAAAGTCAACCTGTTTTGTTTATTTTTATGTGTTTTTTTATTGGAAATTATTCCTACTAACATCTGTCTAAAGTCTGTCTAAAATTGTATTTATAAGGACGTAACCCATAAGCGACATGACATTGACACCTGTAACGGTCAAAGTACGACGTCCTAGAATCTATGTAATAAAAAAACTTGTATTCAATGGTCGCTTAAGATAGAATGACTTGTATTTCTCAATGAAATACTTTTTCGATTATTTTTATCGCGCGTATGCCTTAAAGCAGCACTTATTATTACTTTATGAGGAACAAATGAAAGTTATGTGACTTTCAAACCCTCGAAAGGACTTTAAAAAGTTTTTTAAGCCAAAGGTAAAAAACTCCTTACTTTTATTGTACACCTCTGAGTAATAACTAATAACAATTTAAATACATTTTATCTGTCGTTCAAGTTGTGTCAACTCTTCTTCTTTTTCAGGGAAAATTAACTCATAGGCCAATTATGATTTTAATCAATGAGAAATTACCCTTTTTTGTACTCAATAATTTTTACCTGTGTTGGGAGGTTTTAAAATATGTTTTATTTTTACTATTTCCTATGAAATATATATGTACTATACTTATAATCTATCCAGTATCCATTTTAGCTTTGATATGGATCTAAGATGGTATTGTTTTGACAATTATGTATTTTTATTTTTTTTTGCCTAATGTACCAGTCTAAAGATCAAAAACCGTACCTGTATGATACTTTATTGACCCAAAAATGTCAAGTGTTCACCCCATCCCCTTCTAAATTGAGAATAACATTAAAAAAACATATATATATTTTTAAAATTAAAAATTACGGTACTCTATAACTTTTTTAAAAATACTCGAATTAGTTCCAAATTTTAATGGGATATTCTTTAGACACAGATATTATCAATATAAATAACAAAAAACCTATTACCAGAAGGGGTAAAAAAAGTTATTTTAATTTTTATAGGCGCAGTTTTAGTAGTTTTAATGGATTTAGGTTGAAACTAAGACATCTAGAGTAGGACAATATCATATACAACATACTCGAAATTTTGTAGTCAAGATTTTTTTTTTTATTATGGAAAAAATACAAAAAAAAAAATATAGAGAAAAACTACACTTTGACTAGTAAATTTTTCGGTTGCTTTATAAGAGTGAATGTATGGGAAACAACGACAACAAATTATTGTGTACAAATTATCAACCCTTATCGTATCCACTCTTAAACTAAAAATATAATTTTAAGCATCTTATTTGTAATGAAAATGCATTTAGCGAAATTTATATTTATACCATCTACAGATTCACATTAAAGATTTTATTTGAAAGTGGTTTAATCACTTTGAGTTATACTAATTTCTGTAGACCTATGATTACTAACCTTGATGCGCCCTAATATGTTCCATACCCACTATGCCTCAATCAATTAAAATATACATAATTTTATTAGTTTACATAAATCTGATCAAATCATGAACATTTCTGCTTTTTCAGGTGGCTATTCCGTTACTTCTGAGAACCGATGAACAACCGTCTGCTTATCTATATGAACTGACCAGTTTTGGGCCTTAACACTTAAACGATCAAAACAAAATCATTGGCGCTGAATTTCATGATTAACGTCAATGGAAGAAATCCCATATACAAATTATGGAAATGTATAGAAATAATATAGAAATAGTACAGAAATAATATAGACATAGTATTGAAATAGTATAGCAATTATAGTAGCAGTTTCCACCAAAAATAATTTTTGTATTTATATTTTTTTGTTCTTACATAATATAACTTATAAGATTCGTTAGACGATTTTCTTTTTTAACTAAGCCCATCCCAGACAGTCTCACAAGCTATTCCTTCACTCCAAGTTCCTCGATAGTAATCTCCCTGTATAACGTCCACCTACTTCTGTTCACCAAATCAACTCTAACTGCTCTCGTGTTCTTGCTACTGTTTCTTCCGACATGTCAATAAAATATTATCAATATAGACTTTATCTTTCTTACCACAACAGCACAATCCCAGTCAGCCAGACTATACTTAACCGTTGTGGTTAAGTTTAGTTGGACGATTTGGAACGTACTGCAGTGCACGAACAGCGACAAGTAGCAAAATATCAATTATTTACATTGCGATTGCGGTTATAACTTTACTATGTATAAGAAAAACTGCTAATGGTATCTACTTGCAGTTGTCATACGATTAGAGATATCAAATTGTAACACGGGTTGTCTTTATTTTGTACGGTTTAAAATTAATTGTGTAATGTTTTCACATGTTTATACCATTAAGCAAACTAATCAGTACGCCTATAAATTCTTTGGCATCGCATCATATGCTTGGAATAAAGTTGATGTATGTACGACCGATGGACACATTTTTAAACTCGTTTGTAAGTAATTGCATACGAACACATTCCGTCGCAAAAGCAAAAAATACTAATACAAATTAAATTTGACGACTACCAGAACTGGTTTAATGAATTTTGTCACGCACCCGCCAACGTTCATACTGCTGCAGTTTGGAAACCATTGATTCGTTTGCGATTAACATTAAAATGTATATTATTATTAAACGCCTTAAGTGGCAGAGTAGAAGAAGGGGACACGCCCAAACGTAGTTCCCATGTCAATGAAGCAATTTTTAATTCGTTGAAAAATTAAAAAGCATACATACAAATATTATGCAAATTTCTTAGATACATATATTGGACGGTTAATGATCTTAATACTTGTTGGACAGGTTCAATCAGACCTCCGTTGTAACACAGAGCCTATAAAATAGTAGCTTCGGTGCTATTTGCTCGATCATCCACCGTCGTACCGACTGATCAAATTATTTAGAAGTATAGACATTTTTTAGATAATAATTTTTGGCTGCTATAATTGTAATTTTTGCCTAGTGGCGGATATAAGGAGAGACAAAAATGTGCCCCAAAACTGCCCCACTTTCGTTAGGTACTCGATTTAAGTTTTGAAAAATACTACCTCCTTCTCGATGAGGAAACTGAATCTACAAACGTTTTTGTCTCTGTCCGTGCTTAAGCTGGCAATTATAAGTTTAGATTATTTATCTCATCGTTGCCATTCTGTTCGTGACGTTAAGACAAAACATAACGTTTGCTTCTGAAAAAACACGCGATTACACGTATCTATTGAGAAGAAAACATTTATATACAGCTTCTAGGTATAAATACTTATACAAACGATTTCTATAGACTATCTATGTAAGTAGGTACTTGACTAACGTTACATACACACTGCGAAAGAAAACATAAAACAATATGCGCTTAAATGTCTTTAAACGAACTTTCACCGGCTGACCGAGAGCCGAAGCAGAAAGTTGTTTTGTAAAAAATAAAAAGTCTAAGCCATAAATATTATGTGTTTTCTCGGTAGGCACATGCAATCGAGATGCTGGTTTGCGACAGTTGTTACTTGACCATTGAAGTTTAACGTTACGCGCACATATAAGATTATAGATATAATATATATGTATTATCTCCAATGTTTGCGTAAAGCCCGTTGAATAATGCAGTAAAATATCCTAAAACAAAAGCTGTCGCCAATGACAGGTCAACCGATTTGTTAACAATTATTTTAGGTACCTCCTGCAAAACACTCAAACCGTAGGTATAAATTTGTCCAGAAACTACCGGTAATCTATATCCGCTCTGGCGCATACTTAGCAAGTTATATGGAAATCACAAAAACCATATATTTTATGGAGTTTGACAAAGTTATAAATCATGGTATTAAACATGTTAGTCTGGCAGCTGACTAATGGGCAACATGTACCTATTTTATATTTGAACTTCATATTATTTGGTAAATCATTTAAAAATAATATACATCAGCCATTGACACAATAGATGAGTATAGTAAAATAGTAAGTGAATCAATCCTATATTTTTAGTAAAAAAAAAAATAACACATATACAGTGGGACGTGAGCGAGGGTATTTGACACTGTGTTATTTGTAATTAAGAACCACGTTTGGGTACAATTGGTGTGACTGGTACTAAAATTATTATTTTTTTTAACTGATATAAAACAACCCCAGTTTTTTGACTACTATGTACTTGTACCTTGATCGCCTAACTAATTCGAATGTTCTGAACCAAATAATTTAATTTGTACATCAATAATTACAACACCCAGTCTAATCTTCTTATTGAAAAGAAACTCATTGGTGCGTTAGAAACTTATCGTTGAAAGTGATTTTTGGCGATTACGAATTTGACGAACAAACGGTCAAAAGACACGACAGAGTGCACTGTGCAGCCAAAACAATAAAATTCAATCAATCCGACGTGGTTAACAATACGCAAAAGCATAGATGCATGGAATAAGAGAATAATAAAGACAAAAATAATTACCGAGAGTAATAACCTGCAGCAAAAAAAAAACAAACAAACAAATAGAAAATATAAATCCGGCACTAGAGATTATGAGTTGAAAATTATTTTTATAGTCTTGTCTACAATGAAACAATACACTTGATATGGTACAACGAATAATGGCCGACATGTCTACCTCCGATTGGTGCCTAACAAAAGTAAATCAGCAACAACAATTGAAGTATAGAGCGTAATAAAAAAAAACATTTAATGAAAACTCATTCTACAAAGACTTAATGATGTATTTGTAGTGTTTCTATAAAATTCAGTGGCGCCGAAATCTATTTTAAGGTTACCTTGGCACAGATTCTTAGGGGTATGTCGGCACGTTCGTAGGTTTTAGAGCTTTTTTAATGTTGTTAAAGTTTGGAAAAGGCCCCTTATGTACTTTTTTAGAGCACTACAAAAATAATATGGCGTCACTGTTATTTTAATGTCAGTGACACCACTGGTTATGGTGTTGGTAATGAGATTACCTGAATAGTTTTAGTATAGAGTCTGTACGCATTATCATATTTAACGAGCAAAAATCTTTTGAAACTACAGAAATATTTATATTAAGATATGTTGCAAAGACAAAAATTAAGACATGAATTACAAAAAATCATAAAATTAATAACAGAGTTAAATAACAAAAAATCCAATGTAGAAATAAGACATATGCCATATATTTAAAGCCAGGTACAGCACAATATAGAAGTAGCAAAGTAAAGTGAAGACAGCTGTTATCATACAGTAAACACATTACCACAATATACAAGAACTAACCGCACACATTTAAAACATTACTTCAATCACAGCTAAGACACGTCCTTATAAAATCTATACCTTTTCATATTTCAACATTACACCTAAGCCAAAAGTTTAACAGATATGCAGTTTTATGATTAACAAGTTTTAGAGATTAGTGTTGGTGAGACAACGCCAACAGCCTAGAATAACAGGTGGGTTAATGTTATAGTTTTGAATTTCCATCGATCATATAAGCTCGTTCTAATATATATCAAAGACATAGGTACTAGCGTTTAGTGTCAACTGTTGCAGATTGTAGTAGAAAAATTCCAAGATTGTCATTATAATTATATATTTAAGGTATGCGCTGGTAAATATGTTTGTGCTTTAACTGATAAGATGACAGTTTTTACATTTAATACTATACTGTAAGCTCGGCATGTTTTCAATTTGTACTACTCATTAATAAACTGAAAAACGTAAAATCTTGATCAAATAATAAATAAAACATAATATTACAGCATAATATTATATAATATTCATTCTATATATATATATATCATATATTCATATATGTAGTTATTATATATTTATGATTTCGTAAACTCTACTAAGAAATGTTTTTTTATTAAAGAAACAACATATATCTTTATGCGTGGGACAATCCATGTGAATTCCACACAACAATTATTTTCACTCATATTTCGAATTTTCCTATTTTAATTTCAGATATTTATTATAAACTTACTACTATTCAAAGTAAATTTGCACAATTTTTACTCTCTAGGTACATTTTTTTTGTGTATCACAAATAACTGAATACTTGTACCTACTTAATAAGTTACAGCGTACAGACTATAGTCTGTTTTCATCTTTTCAGATGTTGGAACAGTTTGTTGTAATATTTTTACTAAAATATTACCACCTTTAATTTCATAAACATTATGACACGATTACGTTTCTGTTTCTTGTTCTCATACTTATTTTATTTTACACCTATATAAATCACCCTTTTCCGTTTACAGAAATTTAAGAAAAACTATCACCAATGTATTTTAAATATGACAGTGTTAAATATTTTAACCACAAATACAATTAAATTACTCAGTTAAAAAAACAAAAATAACTACGTTTTATTCAATTACGACTTTAGTTGATTCTATGGAATGACCTTTGAGTAAATTTAATATCAAAATGGATAGTTAGTTAGGTAGTATAAATTACCATCATATTTTTAATAAAATAACAATTTACGATTAGATGACATGCTATGCTATTAGCGACAATTAAAAATAGTTCAAACAGTATAGAAGAATATTTCAAACAAATGTAACGTTTGAACACGGAAAAGAAATGAAGGATCAGGTTTATCATTATCAAGCGATCTTCACAAATGAGCTGTGCGAGTTGTCTTGAAGAATCTTATTAATTGCAAGTTACAGAACATTTTTTTTTTTTTTTACCGAAACGAGTAGTTGAGTGAGTATTAATCGTTTATTATTACACATTTGGGTGGTCTAATCAAACCCTTAACGTTTTTCGTTTAACGACTAAACTTTTTCCACCAAAGCCTATTATGGCTAGTACAGGCGAGGTGATTCTGTTTAATATTGATAATCCCTATATGGAAAAACATGTAAACAAAATTATATGGGATAACGTCACGCATGGACGATCTTAGAAGACGGAATATACCGAATTTATAATAACAATAATGATATAGGAACATAATAGATGTTGGTGTGTTATAAGCCATATTGGTATAATCACATGATTGTAAGCGCCCAGCTATACACACTCACGTTTACAATATTGATTATAATATTATACTATAATGTATTATTCAAACTTATAAGTAACGATTAACTGTAAATCCGCCTAAGTGGGTTAAATCCTCGTAGTATAGTGTAATTTTAAACGCATGGCCTATTTTTAATTGAGAAACGCTGTTTACTCGTTAAATATTTAGTTTACAAGTTAAAGTAAAAGTACCTATTAATTTTCAATAGTTGTGCAAAAAATCAAATAATTAATATCGACTAGTGTCTAGTGCGTATCGATCCGGTGGATTTGATCTATTTCCAACGTCCATAATTAACTATAATGATCTTACTTTAATTATAGACTCCACGGTTGGGTTGTCCATAAGGGTTTTTAGAAATATGATATCAGTCTCTTTGGCCTTTACGTGATGATTGATTTCGTCGATGTTGTCACGAACGTGCTGAAAAGCAGCTGCAACACATAAAATAAAATACAAATTATAAATAAACATCAACAAGACGGCCGTTAATAATTAATGCCAATCTGTTACTCTTAACGAACTTCTATTTATAAGAAAGTTCAAGTACAATATATTAACCGTGCCTCCAACATTGCATTTTAGATTAGTTTCTATTGCTTCACTCTTACGGCGTCTAACTAAATTTTTGAGTTAAATTTACTTCTGTTTAATTTTTTAATCCTAAAATAACCAATGAAATAGAAAATGTAAATAGTAATACATAACACAGAAAAGGCGGTAATTTGTACCTTCATAAAATCTGTATCTTGAGTCTTTAATGCCTAACTCGATGTTTAGCTATAACTTGCTGTTTCTTATTTTTACAAAGCAAAAATGTCCCAGCAAATTTTGAATTGACGTTTCACCCTCAGGCTAACACATGCGCGTGTTAAGCTACAGTCTTATGTTTTAATCAACAAAACAATAATTGTTCTTAAACATTTTTTCAATAAAATTCTCATATTATCTATTATTTTATCTGAATATAAAACTGTGATTATGTTTGATGCGGAAAGCTAAAAGAGATCTTTTGTCAACATTTTCTAAAATTAAGGTAATGTTATTTTCTGAATCTTGATAATTTTTTTACCAATTTGAGACTGACTGTATCTTTGTAGCAAAAATAACGACCAGGTTCCAGGGCACCTTAAGTTCGAGAATAGGAATACTTTGCGTATCTTATAGCGAATGTCTGATTATTTTTCTTGAAAACAACTTTCCAAAAGAGGTCAACTTGTCACAATTTGAAACAGCTTTGTTCTATTTAGAATATTCTTAATCCTTATTATAAGACTATGTTACTATATTACAGTGTTCCTATCAAATGTAAAACTTAATCAAAAAGCTCATGGTAGAAGCGACAACTGGTTTAACGCGCCTAACAAATTTGTCAAATAATTTTACATAGTCCAAGTTAAAAAAAAAAAATTGTACTAAGAAAGTGCTTGAAATACTTTTGTGTGTTATCCAGTAGGTGAGCTCTTAAGATCTTGAATAGAGGCATTAAACACATGTTTATTTTAAGTAACATTAAAAAAACATCTGCTAGAGACTATAAATAATATGCCGGAAAGGTATTTAAAATAACCACAACTTATATCGTTAAACTCGGAGCAATAGCCGTTGTTGGAGATAAGTCAGTATGATTAATTATAGATTAACATGGCGTGTTTAATTTATTTATTTAGTAGGTATGACATAAGACACGACACATAATATGCCGCTCGTTATTACTATTTTAGTTTGCTTAAAATGCTGATAACAAACCTATTCAAAGAATTTTTTCGATTATTTAGAGAGAAGCAATGTTGAACACCAATACTAGATGGTTACTTTAAGTGTTTCTTGTTATACGACACTGAAAGAAAAGGGTATGGCTGTATATTTGATATGTAACAACATATTTTGGTAAACTTATATATAAGTATATTATGTAATGTAATAATATTATAGTTGTGCGTATCATCTTCTGTTTTGTGTAACAATATAAGTATGCGTTCAATATTTATACCATAACGTTACACATAAGCTTATAATACATGAGTAGGTAATTTCAAATTATAATGGAGCTGGTAGTGTGAAATTTTAAAGTATCGACAATAAACTATTTGGAAATAATTATATTGTTAACTTCTAAAATAGTTACGTATGTATCATGTTTTAAACGTTTTATAAATAGTATATGCTATCTAAAGAAAAATATGTTTTAAATTAAACATAGGTCTAACACACGTAAAGTTGCATTTTAAGTATGAATGATTGCTTCGAAAAGACCTGATATAGTATATACTACTGTCCATAGCTGTATTTATTAGGTATATTAATATTTTGGATATTATTTCCTGAAACTGAAGTTGAATTAACGGTTTAAGCTATTAAGCGTATTGTAATCTATAGACGTTAGATAGAACCTTTGAATAATAAAACGAATTCTTAGTCAATAAAAACAATCAATTTAGCAATTGGTAAATAAATAGGTATACAAAACTCAGATGCGAAGAATTTTTATTATTCAAGGTTTTAAGGTCAATTGTGATAGAACACAAAATATACTGAGGATCTTTTCTTAAACGATAGTCTACACGGATATATTAAATAACATATCAAATAAAACAAATTACCATTCAACGTTCATTCAATGGTATACCCATTTGTATAAACCAACAAATTTTTCTCGCCGTCGAAAATCATGTTCCTATTAAGACTTATCTTTATCAAATCGCTTTCACTCAGAAGAACATTTAATGTGTGTATTTATCATGCAAATCACTATACAAATAACTGTAGGTATGTACTGTTGTTTGATACAGGAGTATACTCTGACAGGAGTGGTTAAAATATTAAATATAAAAAAAAACTCTGAAAACCCATGAGCCAAATTATGAGCACTTAAAATTTTAAATATTAAATTATTCGACTTTCAACATTATAAATATTAAAAAAATTTAATGAAAACAATTTGTTTTACTACGCATATTTAAACATACTTCGTCTAAGATATACTATTTATTTATATTCTATTACATTTACATACAATATGATTTTTCTATTTTTATGATTTGATTTTAAAATCCAACTGTGTGTTGATTTAAGATATTTGAACAATTAATTATCATAATGTTCAACTAAAATTTTAACCTGGATGGGTACTAAAGATCAACCCTGCAATTTGCAAACATTATAGAATGAGGTTCCCAGAATTGCATGAACAATAGTCAATAATACCACAAATTTGCTGCCTTATTAATTACTGTCTGTATTCTATTAACAATAGCATGTTAGGTCGAAAGTGATAGGATTTTTATTTTATTGTAAGTATTAAAACAACAAGAAGAAAATAGCATTGAGGAAATTACCAGCGTTGTCGATATTATTAGGTAGGTATATTGTAGTAGGTATATTTGTAGTAGGTATATTATTTCGTTGAACCATGACCATTAGTAGGCTTGGTATTGAAACAGAATTTGATTTATAATAATTTAAAATTTGATAATTTTGGTTAAGTTTGAAAGTTTAAGTTAAAAGATAAAACACAACGTTTCTATTGAGAACTTTATATAATATAATAGTTTATATTTCTTTACACTATTTACACGCCTTGCGGTTACTCTCATTTGGATATCTTGACTGGTTCGCCAGTCAAGGCAGATTATATTTCATTAAAAACTTAAGGAATTTTTCAAAATATCACATTTACCTAAGCGTCTTTATAATTGGGAAAATATTATATTCCACAAAAAAGTGAAATGGACACTTATAACTTAATACTGATGAATATATCATATTATATTTGTGTTGTCGGTAGGTATTATGTTTGCATACAATATTTACGTTTCACATTTTTATAAACTATAGTGGATTATCACTTCATGTTCGCTTGAAAAAAAATTGGAAATAAAATCTTCAAGTTGATTGTAATAGACAAAAAATGTTTCAAACGAGTGCCAGATCTGAAATAGCTGCTGATGGATTTTAAATTGTAAATCCAGTGTTCTTTATAAGACACCCTTTAATATTTTCGACTGAAAATTTAGTTGGGTCAACTTTAGATTATTAATCCCAATTTTTGTAGATGTAACTATATTTTTTTTTTCGTGTTTGTTTGCGTATTAAGCCAGAAAAGTATAAATATAATATACTTATGACATTGTTAATTTTTACATCGTGTATTTCAATAAGACTACTGTGTTACTCGAGGAAGATCTCTTCAAAGAAATCGTTTAGGCGGGCTTAGCAAATAAGCATTTTATTTGAAAACTCCAAATCTGAACAGTTTCTCTCACGTTACTATTTTCCCATTGGTGCACATAATAATATATTTTTGTGGTTAGGTTCTATTTTTTCAAATCATTTTTTCTACCGGTTGTGATCGTGGTTTATCCTAGCTAGTATATATATATATATATATATCATGACTACAGTAGAAAAATATTGACAACTAACACGCGCGATGAATGCAGACTAGTGCTTTGAACTTTTCATCATTATATAATCTAATATATTATTGAAATTTTAAGTCGTTAATGTTAAGGAGTTAATAGGGTTTATTTGTATTGAAATTTTAACAAAAGTTGTTTATCTCTTAAAAACAAATCGTTTCGCGACTTGTAAACACTTAACACGTAACATTATAATGCAGTAAGAGTGTTTTCTTAGGCTTTTGTCCCAACAAAGAGGAAAAATGTGTTAATGGCAAAGGGTGCACGCGCGTGTGCTTCGAATTTTATGTATAACGATCTATACAACACCTTCGTGTCCAACGACAACGCCCTTAAGGGAGGGTCGATCGGGGTTCATGAGGTGTGCTCGTCGTATACAATCTAGATTGTTAATATTAAGTAATAATGAAAATATGTTCGTTTTTATTATACCGTTGTCGTGGATCTTGTGCAACGAGATTTGATCCATGCTGGCCAGCAGTTCGCGGCGATCCGTCTTGTCTTTGCCGAAAAACACCATCGTTCGGTCGGTACGCGTACACAGAGCAAAGCGCAGAAACGACCAGTGCGGCAATACAGGTCTGAGGTACCGTGGTAAAAAAAAAAAAATTTTTGAATTTCTTTCCTCCAAAAACCTAACCAAACAGTTAGTGTTGTACGAGACGGAGGCGTACCGGGCGCGATACTCCGACTGCTGCGGCAGCGGCGACGGTGGTCATGTCGCTCTCGTGTTCGAACGTGTACTGAGCACTTAAAATAATATAATATATGTACCATGCAATATATGGTATACAATAAAGCGAGTCCTACGTAGTCGGTATAGTATTATAGTGGCGCGGAGAGGCACACAGGAGAGACGACCGGCACACACACACACACACACACATATATACTTACAACCGTCTAGAAAACAAAACGCACACACACATATAAACTAAAAAATTCCTTTGACTCTCCGGACGTAGCCGTTTGGAAACCCGGTCTAGCGGGATCTGCTTCTCCACACAGTGATCGTGTAACATTGTACAACTATATGTATATATACATATTTTTTTTTATTATATATATACTTGTTGTCATAAGCACTCACACACAAACACAGCGTGGAACGTCTCGGTTGACCCCGCCCTTCGCGGCGAGGATATTAACCGCACAGCCCCGACGGGACAAAATATATGGTAACTGAAAGAGTATCGTCATTGACTACCGATTAGCAGATACCTGAAATCGGTAGAAAAGCGCCTATAGATTTATCCGGGGATGTAAAAATAAAAAAATTGTAGATGTTTACAACTGTTAAAAAAAAATGATAACGAGATTAAAACATTATTCTCTCGTCACTCTGTAATTGAGTCTACAACCAGTGGCGAAAATGCGGTGTTGCAAAAGTGATTTTGTTTGCAAAACAAATAAATCCAATGACAAAATAATGATTTTTATCATTTTAATTTCCTAATTTAGAACTTTAAGTAGAGTTTTTAATTAATTTTGTACATAAGCACTTAGGTCTAAAGATTACATTACAGAGCGTTTGAAAAACTACTAAACTTTTTATACTTAGAATTTTTTTTTACCATGAATCATTTTTTTAAAGTTGTTTTTACTCCCACGAATGAGTTTACACAGCGTACGAAAAATAAACGTATTCATTTGAAATATAATTATAATAATCGCTTTCAAATCTCAACATTAAAAATATTAAGTTCCGTGAATAGTTGAATACACAATACAATAATATTTTATTATAATTACAAATTAAGTGGGCAGCTATGTGCCTGCAGTTTTAAACCTTAAACATAGCAGCCAACGCGGTAGTCACGGTTTAAGTAGACATTTTGTTTAATTTGTTGTAATTTTTTAACTGCTAAATATACTAATTGGTTTGTTGTTCATTGCTTGATCCCTCGAACTTTTACAGAAGTCGAGTAAAGAGTTTACTGTATATCAATTCAAACAAGACAGTCAAGTTTAACTAAAGTTTTAATTACTATAGCGTGATTACGATCGAATTTCCTTTTGAATTGAGTGTAAATTAACTATTGTTTTCAACGGAAACAACTAAATGGTAATCAAATTTGAGTATACAAAAATTAGTCGACGAACACACTTTAAAACTTTAATTTGTACTCTTGAATAACCTTATTCAATTACGTTATTTTTTTTATGGTACATATATTTTAACCCACATCATGTAGTTGTCTATTATGCTATTTTCCGAGGGACGATCAAACGGGCATTTGTGTTTAAATTAGACGAAATGTCACATGGGGGAACTTAATAACCTAATCACTCGCTTATGTTTAATAATAAATTACTTAGGGTTTTCGGTACTAATAGTATCCACTTAAGTCATTCTTATAACACTCTACTCTAGTTTACTCTTAAAGTAATTGAAATTTTGTAGACATCTTTTTTGAAAACATTTTTGTTTATATTATATTACATTAATAGACAATAGTAAAATGTTTACCTTTTTTAGTATTTTTTTAGAGCTTTATCAACTTTTGATACCTAAATGGTAACATACATATTTAATTAAACTTGAAAAATTGAGAACAATTTTTTGAAAAATTTGATTGGTCGATAACCAGTTTTAAATCATTATTTTAATGTTATTAAAGGGTACTTGTATGTTATCGCGACTACCTAAATATGGTGGACTACCAATAAGTGTCACAATTCCGTTATCGCTACTACCAGAGACGAACACCGTAGTAGAATACAATAGTAATAGGGTGGTAATACTAGGTTATTATCATCAAATATAATAGTATAAAATGTATAATTGGTAAAAAAATGTAGTGTATTGTTAATAATTAAATTTGTTTTATTAATAATTAAAGTAAGTTGGAAAGTGTCTGAAATACTTTTCATTATTCTAAAAATGGATCGTCCTGAGTTTATTAAAGTTTATAATTTTTAGTGTAGTGTAGAGCTAATTTTATTTGTGCGCATTATTCAACCGCGCACCACCTCCTGTCCTAAATTTTAAACTTTAATAACTTCAAAACTGGTTACCGACCAGTCAAAACTTTCAGTAAATTATTTTTAATTTAAAAATCCAACTGATAAAGCTCTAGAAAATAACAATTAAAATACAAATTTAAATACTGTCCAATATTGCAGTATAGCATAAACCAAAGTTTTGACCAGTCAAAACTTTCAGTAAATTATTCTTAATTTAAAAATCCAATTGATAAAGCTCTAGAAAATAACAATTAAAATACAAATTTAAATACTGTCCAATATTGCAGTATAGCATAAACAAAAAATGTTATCAGAAAGAAAAACTACAAAATTGTAATCGTTTTAAGAAAAAACTGACTTTGAAAGAATTACAATTAAAGAATTTAAAGGAACCGCTCAAGAGGTCGCTATAGCAAATGTTCTATCCATATTTGGTGCTCGCTAAGTATTGCAGCAAACGCACTTTGGGAGAGTTAAGTGACAAGTCACTGACAACATTTGCCATGAAGTTTTTATGGGCGATTTTCTCAAAAAAATATTTTAAGCTAGACAATGGCAATTTCAATAATTATCAACGTTATAAGAACTATTCAAATATAAACAATTATTTTTTAGAGTACGCTCTTAACCTACAAAAAAAAAAATAAATACTATAACGTTGCACGTGAGAACATAATTAATATCCTTTTTCATAGGAAACGCTTTATTAGAATTATCATAATTTAACGGAGGGGAGCTAGGCATGAAATATGTTTATCATTGTGTGCTGTAATTTATATTGGGCATCGCGTGCAGACTGCAGTGGCTGACAGAAGCCTGTGGCATTTTCGACAGGAATGGTTACCGACATGGGTTGTAACATTTTGGCGGAAACTCAATGCGTCGTCGTTTCCTTTTATTTTATTATTTTACACATAGGTACGTTATCAGATGCGTAGATCGTGTTGCATAGCTGGTATTAGGCAGGTACATCATAATGTTATGCACGTGGATAAGCAACAACGTATACATTTACTATAGTAGACTTTAGCAGGTACTGTTGTTTTTCCAACAAAAGAAATTGGTATTTTTTTACACTATTGTTTGTGAAAAAACGAGATGCGTTTAACCCGAAACTTGGACTCCGTTGCACCGTTCGTTTGGTTCTAGAATAATTAAAATAATATATATATATATATACATAGAATTAGTTGTATTAGAATGTATCTATGTTGTTACAGGTAAAAACTGGTCAGAATATAAAAACAGTATACAAGTTGAATATGCTGTGCCGAGCGTGACTGAATTTGACATTTAAAAATTAAAATCACGTGTATACGGTACCTACTAAATGTCTAAATGTTAATGCAATGTCATGAAACATATTTTTTATAAGAAACTGTCATCCGATTATCTAATTAAACCGTTGATATCCGGGTAAATGTATATAAGTAACTAAAAATCATCTACAAGTTATTTGGTCTATACAAAATTACCGTTAACGAATACAACTCTAATTTTTTAAAAAATAACATAGTTTAGATACGATAATATAAAATATTCAATATATTATCAATAATAATATATTATCGTATATTAGCGATAATCTTATTAATTAGATAATCTTTATTATCCATTTCCAAAAATAATATAATAGTTATTATCAAAGAGCCATAATTTAATCGCGATGTATGGTATTTTATAATACTTTACTTGACCTTTGAAGAACTGATAAATGACATAAAATGAATGTATGCTACCATTTTATATATATTGTTACAATATATACTCAATGATACTACTCAATAAAATATATTAACGAAAATAACTCATTTTAATTAATTTACATGGGTTCAATTAAAAATGCATTGGGCAAACATTAAAATTACCTACTTATTTATTGTCTACCACTATTTGTTGTCTCAGAATTTGTTAAAGTGATCGACTATACAGAAAAACCCTTAAAAATATCAACGATGCAACACAACATCCACCACTGTCACAAAGAAAAGAAAATACATTTGTAATATAATCATTATTAAGTTATATTACATGCACTCGCGTATGTTTTGATAGAAAGAACAGTAATCATTAATGCGTTTTTATGTAAAGAATTAATTCAAATATGATATAATTTGTGAATAATTTTTAAAATTTTTAGATAATGATTATCCAAACGTTACTCATATTTTAATATCATGCCTGCATTCTACACTCGATGCGGAGCTCAGAAGGTATAGTATTTACAATGATGTTTTTTTTCATTTTCGTGTCTGGACCCACGATATTTTTTAAACCACTTTCCCTTCAGTCGGAAAAAATTGCACATTTTTAAATTTAAAACTACGATGCTTTATAACTTTTTCAAAAATTGTCGAATAAGTTCCAAATTTATATGGAATATTTTTTAAATACAATTCTACCCATAAACATTGACAAACCGAAAAAATATCATAAACCCTTATGGAAGGGATAGAATTTTTTGCCTTGTTTCACTTTTTCAAACATAGTTTTAGGGATTTAACTCTGAAAGTTAGACAAAATGTAGATCTAGAATGGAACTATAACATATACAATTTTCTCAAAAATGTGTATTAGAATTTTGTTTTATTAAGGAAAAAACACTAAAAAGGGGAAAATTACACTTTGACCGTAGTCAATATTCAGGTTGCTATGCATGAGTGAATCAACAGTCAACAGGTAAAGAAAATATTTTCATTATATTGTTAATTGCGGTATACGAGTAACTATGGCAATACATTTTAATATACAGACGATCACCCTAAATCGTATACACCCA